CTGAGCTGCAAGGAAAAAAAAAAAACCAACAGAGTTTCAGATCTCACAACTAGAAGCTCTTGATGCTCAGAGAAATCCCAGCTCTTACATGTCAGCTAGACAGTTCAGTGGTATGAGTGGGATTTCATCTCCTGACAACACAAAATGAGTGTTTTCTTCCCTGCTCCAGTCAGGCAGAAAGACCAGAGATTGCAGCAAGAGTTGTGGAGGTGTGGGAAAAAATCACATCTATTATACCACTAGTTTGTATCTATCAGTAACCGAGTAATTGCTTCTCCTGTCACATACAAAACACCTATCCCTGCCTTGCAAGAGAAGATGAATGGTGCATTCAGTTACAGCCCAGCTACATCAACTAAACTTCTCTGAAAAACAAGACCTAAAGTCACACAGCAATATACCATTTAGAAGCTCAATGAGTGCAGGAATGATTCCAGATTTAGCCAGCAGAGCAGCACAAGAGTCATCCATAGAAACTGTTCCAATCATTATCACCACTTCTAAAACGAGGTCATCTTCTGCAGAACCTGTTAAGCCAGAGGGCAGAAAGTATTACCTCTTAGAAATTCTTAATCCTGTGCCAGTTTTATATTTATGTGTAGATATAATTCTGTTCTTCAGTGTTGTTTCCCTGAACAACCACAGACTATAAAGGTAAATAGACTCTACTCTGAAAGAGCACTTTAAGTATCCTTCGAGTGACTCTACTTTGAAAGTCTAACCAAACTCTGTACAGACCTGGTTTTAGCTTATCCTTGAGGTAGGGGACCAGTTTGTACTCTTTCAGCACAAGTTCCCAGTCCAGATCTGGTAAGGTCAAATTTGCAAGTGTTCCCAGGCATTCAATCACAAATTCCTCTTCTTCATCATTTGATATTTGAGCTGCTAAATCACCAACATAATCCTAGAGAAAATACAGCAATAAACATTACAGGTGAATACTCTGGGGTTCTGAAGAGCTCACAATTTGGTCAAATCAAAACTAGTTCTCAAAAGAACACTAAGGAGACTTTTCTCCTAAAATGAGGGCTAATAAGGCAGTTTCAATTTCAGTTGAAGAATGAACCAAGAAAACATTTTAGCATTCTTCCTCTCCATCCTTTCACTTTCAAGAGATGTAGATCATTTGTTCAGATGTTCCAAAAGTAGCTACTACACACAATAGTTTAAGAAAGCTGTTAGAAAATAAGGGAAAGAAGATAGCGAACATCATACCGCATGAGTGACAGTAACGGAGTCCTCCTCCTAGAGGCTTTAAGAAATAACTACCAGATTTTCTGGGGACATGAACAGGGGAATCATAAATTCCACTTACTAATCCCATACTGCATTAAGACGATTTGATATTCAATCCTCATTTAAACAGTACATTTAAAATTTCCACAATTAAGATGCTGTGTTTCCCCTGCTCCTGTTGAAAGAGTGGATCTACACAGTTAACTGAATATTAAGTATTCAAAATTTTAAAATATCTTTTATTAAAAAATATTTTAAAAATAAAGCAACAAAGTCAATAGCGCTTTATTTTGCCCTCTAGCTCTAAAAGCAGAGATTCAGAATAACTGTTAATTGTTATGATGTACACCACAGCAGTTGGTGGTTTATGTTTTGATTTTTGTTTGTTTGCTTGGTTTTCTGTGTTTGTTTTGGAACAAGGACTTACTAGATACAGCTTAAGATTTGCTTTCCCTGTAGTGAGGGATCCAAACCCTGACCTACCACCTAAGATAACCTTATAAAACAAAACATAAATCAACCCATGACAGCCAAGAAAAAAACTGGACATCCTGTAAAGACAAAACACAGCAGCTCTGCAAAGCCAGTCTTTTCCAGTAGGAAAAATCAGAGATCACATTAGGTAATAGATAGTACTTACAATAAACAGGCTTTTAGTTGTCCCATCATGTTGTGAAATATTCCTGATCATCTTCATTAACAATGGGTCCTTAAATTTCAAAGCTCGCTTCATTAGCATTTTCAAACCATTTCCTGAAAAGAAACAAACACTTCGGAAATCCTTCAAATTAAAAACATTAGGAAAGCACTGGCCTATCAAAAACAACAACATGCACACACAAAAAAACAGCTTTAACTTTTAAAAGTTTAAAGGAAAAAATGAAGAATCTAGACAGGAACTATTTCTTCTTCCCAGTTTAAGTTGAAAAGAAAAGACCTGCTCTGTATAATTCTGTATCTTCTCTAAAACAACTACTATGACCATACGTACTGGTGGGACACTTAAAAAGTCAGATAAATAGCTAAATGCATCAGATGTGCTTAGTTATCTATTCAGACCAAGAAAGGTTCTAGATCTGAACCATTATCCTATCATCAAGAACAGTTAGTGGAGAGCACAGCACAGCTGTTGGTCGTAGCTCAGAGACTTCTCTCCCCACTCCATGCAATAAATACATCATTATGGTTTTAAAAGGTTATTTACCAGTCTTGTAGAACACAACGTGGGAATATACATAACAGACACACACAGGTCTGAAGTACTTGATTACACAGGGTAAGTCCCACTGTTACCATTCTGTTCCCAAAAGATCACCTTGCCTATCTAATAAGTGCTACTAGCTTGAATTTCATTGGTACCTTCAATATAAAAATCGGATCTCCCTACTCCCCCTTCTACAGAGCCACGCACAGAGTTTTAAAGTGGAACTGCTGGCCACAGGATCCACTGGTTGCAACTGTCCCTTTTTGAGGTCTAGTAATTTATTGCAGTAGTTCACAGTGAAAACTTTGAGCACAAGTGAAAATTAAAGCTACTGAATAATAATGTTCCACTTAAAACTGCTAGTATGAAAACAATGACACTTTAAAAGCAATCTAGAGGGCTCCTGAATGAAATGGAGAACCCAGCTATACCATGTAACAAAATACAAAACACCAGAACCCAAAAGAAGCTCAATTAAAAAAAAAAATAAATAAATAATGGAAATACACAACTAAATGACATCACTATGCTATTGATTTGGTACTGGTAGATGAAAGACTGATTAGCTGAAGATGGATTTCAAGCACTGAGTAGAACAAAATCTTTATCTCTCCACACAGTCATAGTTTCCCAGAGTAATGTCATCGGTGTGCTTTACAGAACTACATGCACATGTGAGAGGTGGGCATGTGTGGCTATTCAGTGTCACCAGGACCAATTTTGGGGAGAATATGGCTATTTGCTTGCAAGACTTACCCAAATAGGTGTATATTAATTTTAAAAAATACATACACATATATAAATTTATAAATAAATATAAATAATTTCTATATGTAAGTGTATATGAAAATATATATATAAAGTATCGTCATCTCGAAGAAAACAGTAAAATCTCAGTATCTCTACCTTCACAGATAAGTTGTACATTTCTTCTGTTAGCAGCAAGGTTAATACAGAAAGAAATAAGTTCCATGTCAACTCGTTCATCTGGACATTCAAAAAGCATCTTCATTAACTGCCAAGAAACACAGGTACAATTAAGTCATTAATCTTTCTATAGCATTAGAAGAGCAATGTTATGTCAACTACAGTAGTTTGTTCTTTCTAAAAAAAAAAAAAACAACAAAAACATCAATATTCAGCATTTCTACAGTAGCAGCAAAGTTATAAAGGTCAAGGACATCAGATGTATAGTTCCATTATTTGAGGATAACAATGCTTATAAAGTGCCAAAAATGGCAGTCACTCATCACTTTAAATTAACTGGGGTTAGTTACATTTTATTACCATTGAATTTGTTATTTTTACTCTTTTTTGAAAGTTGTGAATGGATAAATCTGTTTTGAAAGTTTAGGTAGACTTAATATAGGAAAAAAATTGGTTCCACAGAAAGCCAGATTAATATCTGGTTGTTTAATAAAATTATGACTCTAAACAGATACTTAATTGCAGAATAATTCTACTACTGTTTTGCTTTGAGATTGCTGATATGTAGATTAGCTGTATCTGCAGCAATATGCCTTATCTCATGCCTTATCTAGCAGCTCCCATTGCTAGAGCTGAACTCTGCCATGGACCAAGGACTTCTCAGTACTAGTCTTTTGGTAATGGGACAGAACACCCTGGGTTACTGTAAATAGACAACTGCCTATAATCCTGTTCCAACTGTTCAGTAAGTGTCAGTGAATTCCCACATGATTCCTTAGGCAAATAACCTATGGATTGCCATTATTTTATACACCTAGTGCCTGTGTTGTCCATTACATCACAGGCTATCCAGTCTTCACAGAATCACAGAACCACAGAATATCAGGGATTGGAAGGGACCTCAGAAGATCATCCAGTCCAATCCCCCTGCCAGAGCAGGAACCTAAATGAGATCACACAGGAAGGCGTCCAGGCGGGTCTTGAATGTCTCCAGAGAAGGAGACTCCACAACCTCCCTGGGCAGCCAATATAAACATTTAATAAACATTTTTTTGAACTGGCATACTGAATAACATGTCTCCAGAGAAGGAGACTCCACAACCTCCCTGGGCAGCCAATATAAACATTTAATAAAATATATTTTGAACTGGCATATTGAATAACAATATATTTTGAACTGGCATATTGAATAACAAACATGAGACAAATACATCCATTCCTTTTTCTCCGTTTCTAACCCTGGCAGACAGGTTGCACGACTTCCTCATTAAGGGGCTGCAGGACATCACCCTATTTGCCCCTAAAACCTGCTCAGTTCATAAAACACATCAAGATTATAATGCAAAGCAGTGTGATGACAAGACTGAGATTACTGGAAGTAGAAACAACTCAACCTAAAAACAAGCGGGAGGTAAGATACAAAAAAAAAAAAAAAATAGCTCAGTTTGTGTCAAAAAGGGGTGGGGGGAAAAGAAAGCAACAACTCATCATTCAATATTTGTGTGCTTGCCCCCTGGTGGAAAGACAGCTTGGAAGGCATTAAACACTAGAGAAAGTGGGTAAACAACCCATTTAGAGCAGAGGAAAAAAGGAACAATAGGATTGCAGGAATTTCACTCCCAAGTACTTCACTACAGCAATTCGGTATTGCTATTAGCAGATAGCAGCTGTCATTCCCAATGGACCCCAAATTAAAAACAAAAACAAAAAACCCCAACATATTTAGGTTACAACATATTCATCCCTTTTTCTGGTACTTTCATGTACTAATTCAAAAAGTTATCACTGATTTCTTCCTCTCTTTCTTAAAAAGGTAGAATCAGGTTTCCCTGGATTGTTTTAAGAACTCATAAAATCCCTCGGTTATTCAATCCGTAAGTCTGACAGTCACACAAGAGTGAATTAACCAGAGAAGAAAGTTCCCACTTAACAAGTAGAACATGAGCATTCAAAAAAATCACCCCCTGCAACTCTTTCTGTTACAAAACCTTTAAAAACAGATTTTTAAAACCCTTCAAAAAATTTGAAGGGAAATATTCTCATTACTTACACAATACAAAATCTGTGGAAATTAGATGTTTAACAAGATGGGATTACACTGTTAATTACTGAACTACTTCTCTATAAAAAGAAAAAATATATCCAGTTTCAATTAAAGCCGTTCAAATTTTAAAATAATAGTTTCGTACGAGCTCCATGTTTCCCATTATGTCTTCATTTAATTTGATTGCTTCTTGTGCCACTTCAAAAGGAAGAGTAATTGCTGCCAAATAGGAAATATTAAAATTAAATTTGTTCTGCTTTTACTACGTCCATTGTCATCTTTTACTGATTTAACAGGAAGGCAGTAAAAAGACTGCAGCATGTGCAATGAAGAGGCAGTAGTGTTCAATCAGACAAGTCCCATATTGAGTATCAGATACCACAGACCAGGACTGAAATCACTGTGTCTAGACTCTCTGGCACCTGCCTTCACTTATTTACCAGTGACCAGAGGCCAACCCCCACAGCTCTCTGTTCACGTACACCTCTGTCCAACCCCCTCCCCAAGCCCAGCTCAAACATCTTTGAATGATTATGCCAGAACTGCATGCCTCAGGAATCTCTCCTGACCGGCTACTCCCCAACTCTGCTGTTTGAAGTGATGCTCTGGTTTCTGAACTTCAGCAGATAATGGCGGACAGGAGCAAAGGGTGCTGTCAAGAGAGGACGTTTACCAGCATTAAGCTGAAAAGAAGCTTATAGATCAAAGAGGGGCCAAACAGGACAAGCGTGGTGGAAAACATGTGGGTAGCTGCAGAGAACCTTACACACTGCTCTGTGGTAAAATATTAAATATCACCATGACATCACTGCCTAACCATGCCCTTTGATTGGCCAGGTTATTACCAATAAAGGCTTTTATAAGCATCTGGATGGCATTTGCACCTATTTAAACAAAACACGCATTGCTGAGGTCTAAACAAGAATGAACTGTTAATACTCACTTTTAACTGTTACTAGAATAGCACCCACTAACTCCTGCAATCCACAAGGATGTTTACCTGGGACAGCACGCGCAAGCCCCTGGCAGGCACTCTGCCTGTTCATAACAACAACAGGGGATTGATTTTCCAGTCACTTTCTCCAACAGCTAAAGGTTCATTACTGGTTATTTGCCTGTTTAGATGTACATCTTTCCTGAAAAGAAAACATACCTACAGAAGGGCACATACTACTATTGAAAAGAGAATTTGGTTTTCCAGGGTAGAATCAGATGGCAGGGAGTCCTTTTCAAAAGGTCATTTTCTTCTCCTGATGCCTTATCCACTTCCCCATGTTTTCTGCTCCATCTCTCTTCCTTAATAACTGTCCTAATTTTGAACACTCACTAATAAAATTTAAGCTCTGGTTGTCCAGCTTGTCCTTTCTGAACAGGTAGCAGACTGATCTGTGAATAATTAACATTGACCACTGAAGCATCAATAAAAGATATTCTTCAAATTTTATAGTTTTAGCCAAAGTCCAGTGAAGGTGGTGGACATTTTTCCTGCTCCACTAGTCTTTGGATACCACTCTGCAAGCACTGGTTTGAGCAGTCACTGCCTATCAGAACAATGATGTTCCCCAAAGCTCAGAGTATGATATCACTGAAGTTTCCACAGCTCTTTACATTTAGCATCGGGGATCCAAGAGCCAGGCCAAGATTCCCTGAAAGCACGTCATGAGTGAGCCCTGAAACACAGAGCATGAGTTCTGGTTTGGCTGGTAACTGCTCAGAACAAAGCACATCCCTTATATCATGCAAATGTTTTAACATATAGCTGCTTCTTGTGGCAGAAAAGGCAGTCAGCAGGATGTTTACAAGACCATTTTGTAACATATACTATTTATTCCCAGCAGTTCTTCCCTCTCTATTCTCCAAAATCCTCCTGTATTTGGAAAAACATCACCATTTTTGTCATGAGATAATAACCAGAAACATTCCGAAAACTTTCCATGGCAACTTCCCATTCTGGATGTATTTGATGTTAAAAACATGTTTGGCAGGAAAGGAGATAGCGTGGTGCAATTCTGAAAAAGCTACCGGAGAGCTTTTACATTTATGCAACACAGGCTTTCTCAACTCCAGCCTCACCAGGACTGAGAAAAAGATCAGTAAGAGAGGATTTGGTACTTGTTAAAAAAAAAAAACCCAACCAAAACCCAAAATCCATCAAAGAACAAAACACATAAAAAACATACATAGAAACCCCAAAACCCCGTGATATTGTCTCTGTGCTTGGATCAAAGACTATGTTTGGAGACAAAATGTTATGCAACAAACTGAGCATGAAAGATTGGTGAAGAGCATTCTTTAGTCTTCAAGTCTCCCCTGTTGTATATGCCTGCAGTTGGAAAAGGAATTGTCATGCAGCAACATAACACTGCTTGGCTGGTTTCCAGTTCATATCCTGTAACACTGGAGACGTTGAAATTTTGATACCCAATGGGATCAGAAAAGAATGCCTTCCAAAACAGTAAAGGAAATACTTTCCACAAGGTTCCCTAAGGACCTGCTGTGCACAATCTTTAATCTCTTTCAAGCATTCCTGATCTTGTGTAGAAATTCATCAGGTCACCTGTATTTTGACCAGTTCATTGCTGCAGCTCCAGTGTTAGCAGCACTGACAGAGAACGTGTCACCCATCCTTTTACTGGGGTCCTTTAAAAGAGACTGCCCCATGAGCTCACTCCCAACTCCTCAGCATCGTGGTCGTTCCCACTTCCACCTGCGGGTGTCAGTGCGAGCTCTGCTATGAGTGAGGAAGAGCCCAGCACCCGGGAAAGCTGGTTCTTACCACCTCAGCATATATGGAAGCACATACCTGTGGGATACAGTCAGTGTATGCAAACATCGATTTAAAGCGATCATCCATGCTTATGTGATACAGAATACACATTGCTATTTGTTTGTGGTTTTCATTTGCTAGAAGGAGGAAAAAAAAAAAAAATCTGTATTAATAGAATCCCAGTATTTTAGGTATTGTGAATATTTAAAGGAGGGAAACAAAAAGCACAAAAATCCGAGCTAATAGAGGGAAAACTTGAATGAGAAATGCAACACTAATGAAAGTGTCTTGCCTGGTCTATCCAACTGAGCCAAGTATTTGTGTAAGGAGGGGAAAAAGGCAATGTTAACTACTCCCCCTCTTCCCAGCACCTCAAAACATTTCCTTAACCCCACTTTGCAAGGAATATATTTTGTGAAAAGAACGCAATAATGACAGGCCATCCAGAAAAAAAAGGCCATCCTTCATCAGTCTGCAGCTAGGAAATTAAATATCAAAAGTAATGTCAATTTAGCTTAGATATTCCTGGTGAAACAAGAAGCTTGTCTCCAAGAGAAATGATAAAGAATGCACCAAAGAGAGAAAAATAAGAACTACCAGTAAAAAGTGTCACAGAAGGAATCCAGTGCCTTTCAAGTAAATCACATACTAATTGTTTTATTATCCTAAATAATATCATCCTGTGGGTGCCTTTTGTGTTTCGTACATTTCAAAGACAACAATAATATATTTTCACATTAATACTTACCAAAGAGAAAAAGATTCTCAAGAAAAATTGGAGCAGTTAGTGTGAGCAGGCTGTGAAATATTTAACCAAAAGGGTCTCTAAAACCAACTTAGACAAACGTACAAATGTTTAAGAACAACACAGACGTGTTTGATCCTGACTCACTGCTGAAATCCGGACTGAGTATTCTCTCGAGCTCTCCTCCAGCCCAACCTTAGCAGGGTACTGGCTATATATGGGATAAAACACTCATCTGAACGTTTGTATTAGTTAGACCAGGATGTAATAAGGTCACCAACTCACAATGTATTCACAGTTCTTATACAACTGATTAGAAATACCCTACCTCACACTTCTATTTAAAGCTAAGTTAGAACCTATCTGTTTAACACCCTGGCAAAGCATCAAGACCTCAAACAGCAAACAACACAGTTAAATTTTTTTTCTGCATACATCATTGGGAGCTGGAATTTCCTTTAAGCAGTAAGGATATGATGCCTTTACCCTGAGAATGCACATGCATGCCTTTTTTCAAAATTGAATTACCAAAAAAGACCCATGAAACCCTTCTGGCAGTTGCCACACAACAGTGAAGTATTCTTTCCCCATGCCAAACCTAAAAACACAGCTGACCTTTCAGATCCTTCTGGATTCTTACCTGTTTTTGAAAAAACGTGACTTGTACCACAATCTTCCACGCACTTAACAGCTGGAGAAAGGATAATGCCCAAATTTGAAAGCTACTCTGGCTGTTATTAAAATAAAAGCACAGACAGTACTATAGTTGCTAAAGCACACACACTCTGTTTTAAGCAAACAAAATGAAGTGTTTATTATCTTTTGTGTTTCTCTTGTGACTGGTCATCTTACCTACCCATTCACTTGTAGTGACATTCTAAATCCAGCAATTTAATTAAAAGAACTTCCCATACATAGAGCTAAAGGCTTCTCCTAAGCAAATATAAAAGTTTAAGGAGTAAATTACGCCTTCAAATTTCATGAGGCTAGGAAAAAACAGCTGTTTACACTGCTCTTAACACTTCTTTCCACGTCTCTATTTAAGACTCAAACATCAAGACTCAAATTTAAGACTCAAATTACAATTACACTTTGCTGGAAGTGGAAACACTATGTGAAGTGCAAGGTAAAAGTCAGCAAGTATAAAAGGGAGGAAAGTTGGCTCCCTAAAACAGCAACAGGAAAAACAAATTAGAGTGATGTTGGACCAGTCCTTCAGGTATGAACTGGCAGGTAGTCCACAAGAATGATGCTACTTTATATCTCCTTAACCTCTGTCCTTCATGTTGGTTTTTTCCCCTCCTTATTTTTACAAGCTTCATTTGTGCTAAGATAAAGCACCAGCTAAGGTAAAGTCTTTCATTTGGTAGCAGTAGCAGTTTCCTGGCATTTGGCAATTCTAGTAGCTTATTTTCAAATAATATAGCCTACTATAGCAGCAAAGGCCTTCTGTTTTTTGAGAAGAAACTCTTTGCATAACTTTCTCTCCCCTTTTTTCCAAAGGTTCAGCCTGTCACAATAACCTTTTCTGATGCCTCTGGTATCAGGGCTGAATGACAGCACTGCCTCAGTTTCTAAACTACCAAAAATAATGAAAAAGACCTAGATACTCAATCTAAAGTGTGAAGAATATCTAGAATTCAAATCAATTTCTTTTATCCAAATGAACTCTTTAAAAGTTGAGCTTTAATGGCTGGCACTTAAATCATTCTCCCCAAGTATGTTCCATAAGGCAGATTTCACGGCAGACAAAGGTAAAGGCAGCTATAGCTTCAAAAAGAAGAGCTGAATTTAAATTCCTTCTTGCAGTTAACTGACCCATTTTCTCTGAATTCTCCTGTCCTACTATCAACACAGGGAACAGAGAAGGGTTTAGAGCATTTAAGTCACAAGCACTTATTGCACAGGCTCAGCAAGGAAGCATTTTTCAATTGTGAGTAAACAGAAAAAAGAAAAAAAACAAGCTTAATTCCACTAACTTGAAGATGAAAATAAACTACAGAACTAAAGCGAAAAGAAAACAGTGTGCAACTAAAATTGCTTTTAAGTATTTAACAGTGCACGCATTTTAAGTTTCATTTAATTTTAATTTCCCAGAAAGGAATGAATTTCAGGCTGATCTCTGCAAGTTTCACTGTCCCACTTTCCCCATGGAAGCACTTTGTTGGAGAAAAAGCAGAACCTCCTCACTTTTTTCAGTTCTCATGCAAAACAGTGGCAAGTCATGGTCCAAAGAATCAAACATTTCAGGAAAATCAAGAGGAGGTGGTTGTTTCTAAGCACAGCCAGCATGATTTAATGCAACTGTTAATCTCACACTCAATCAGGAAGCACACAGCCTATTGGAAAGCTGACTGGAAACCATGCGTAACGAGTTTGTTGGAGATTAGGAAGAGAACAGATTCAACAGCTACAGCCTTTTAAACACTAAACATCATCTTGCAGCTGAAGATTGTACAAAAGGGTAAGAAGTGGCAGATTTTTAAAAATCCATCAAGTCAACTGCCATCCTTTTACATAGGGACCTCACTCCCCAAAATATAAACTGGCAGCTATTAATGATTACTTGAATATGCCAGTACCAATTTTTTTTTTTAAATTATTTTTATACTCATCTAATGCTTATGAATAAATCCTTAAGTCAACCACTGTTTAGAGACTTGGCTATAAAAACTTCCAACTCTGCCCAGTACCTGGATGGAGAACAGTTTTCCAAAGCATGGAAGTGATACCTTTTCTGCTATTTTTGACCACTACTGAAGGCCACACAAGAAAAGCAGATGCTGCAAGAAAGACTTCCTTATGAACTGGTACAGTAGGCATCAATTATTTCCCCTAAATAGAAAAAGCAAGAGAAAAGAAAAGAAAAAAAAACAGATCTCTGACAAACGTGTTCATAAAAATCACCAAAGTTTTGGTGAGGTGCCAGAAAGTTGTGGCCTAAAAATGCTGGTAGTTTTGAGCATCAAGTTTTTTTATGACTGAAGGTGGAACAGCCAAATGGCCTAAAGCAGTAAGGGGAGCCCTGGAAAATAATGGCCTAGTCATTATGGATTCTTCTGGTATTTATGGCAATAAAACATGAATCATAATGAACTCATTGGATATTAAATGTGGGGGTCACAAGTACTTTGATAGGATTTCCACAAGAATTTACCATTAATTAACCAAATAATTATTTGAAAGTGTTACTGAATTATCCTTAGTTCTTATACAGCCATTCCAGAGAAATTGGTCACTCCCAGCTGAGTGCAGTTAATGCCCTAACAAACCGGTCATTAACTGCAGTTACTGATTTTGTGGGAATTATTGTGTTATAAAATACACTCAACAGTTTATAGAAACAATACTTAGATTTTTTTTTTTTTTTGCAGCTGTAGTTCAGCTGGAGCAGCTGGGATGGAAAAATATCAGGTCCCTCGGGCTGTTTTCACAACTAGTTTTCTGCAAATTAGAGAGGGAAATAAATACATGATGGGTTCTGAGTTCAAAATGGCTTCAGATTTTTAGCCTTTGAACATTAATAAGAAGCCATGTGCCAGTTCTGTGGACCAGTGCCTGAATTCCATGTCTAGTTCTTACTAAGGTTAAAGATCTAAATAGTAGCAGAAGCTAAAGAAAAAAAATACAATTTCTCAATCACGAGATCAGGTCCTACATTTTGGTTGAGTTTGTGAGCTTAAAATGAAAAAATCCTCTGTTGGCTCTGCGATAACAAAATGCCAATCTGAGTTGCAGCAACAGCATTCAGCTTTCAAATGCTAAAGTAAAAATGTGAATATGAATTATGGACTAAATTATTCAAATGGAACACGATCAGTAATTCAAGTAGCCATAATTTCTAATGGAATTGTCAATGTCTCCACATTATATGATATGAAATACACCCTATCCAACTCGTGTGCAAAACATTAACTACACTAAATCAAAACCAGAACACAAATGAAGGTAAATACCTATTAAAATGGCAGAGTGAATCTTCATTTCATTTTCAAGCTCTCATACTCTCAAGCCAAATCTGCTGGAGAATTAGGCAAATAAGAAATCTACATGGATGAAAATGTCACAAACTGAGTATCAGATCTATATGCTGCCTCAAACTGCTGTCAGAAAACACTGAAATCAAGACTTTATTCACATGTATCATAATTAGCAGTGATCTTAGGAAAAAAGCGATGGAAAGGTATCACTGCTTACCTCTATCCCATATTATTCTTTGCAACCAGCTCTGAAACAGTTGGACTAAGTTACTCCATGTGTGGTTTAGACACATATTGGTTTGATTTACATATGTAAATATAAATCATATTGGATATATCAGTTTATTTTATCAAGAAAACCTGAAAGAATTTTCAAATCTGCTCAAACTCAAGGAGACTAGGCATTGTAAAT